CAGCAGAAGGTAAACTCTGACAGCCCAGCACAAGGAGTAGGTGCCCTTGAAGAGTTCCTCAAGCTTAGCCTTTCTTACCTTTCAGCATTGGAAACTTGAGGCACCAAGCACAGATCAGCCATGGAAACCTGTAAATGTAGCAGAGAAAAGGTGTCAGAGTATGAGCCTGTCCCATCATTCAACACTGTGGTAGCAGGCTTTGAGAGCTGGATAGAAATTATGTTATTAGCCAGCATAGAGGAGTTGTCATGACAACCTTATTCTTTAATCCAGCATTAATAACATGACAGTGGTACAAGGAAAGAAACTGCATAACAGTCACTAGTAGAAAAAGCCATTAGCCTTTAGGGAACTTCCTATTTACCAGCTGATCATGACAACCTCAAGGACACAATGCTTCTACGGCAACTGCCTCTGAGCAAACAAGTCTGCTGGCAAGCTGCAGAGGGAGGTGATGGAAGGAGGGCAAAGTTTGCATGGCTGGGAAAAGATGAGTAAATTTTGCTTGTTTGCATTGCAGAAGTATCAGGCAGCTTGTGCCAATGTCAAGACATAATATGTGATAGGGCCTTTAGAGACAGGTTCAGGGACTCACAATCTGAAAAGAAGACTCAAGGACAATACAACTAACTGCTTATCTGCACAGAGGCAGCTGCCCTCACCCCAATCCCCATGTCACAAAGCCCTGGGTGCCTTTCACAAGCTCCAGTTCCATAATGCTCCTATTAGACAATCCTCTGCACCACAGGGTATTGCAGGACCCTTCCTTTTTTTTTTCCTCAGGTGTTATACAGAAGTTCCAATTGCCTACCAAACAGGACTACTAAATGGAAGAGGCCTGAGTGGCCTTTAACTTGGTAAGGGTCAGAACAGCTTGTATGTGAGCGCTCTGAAAGCTGACCATGTTAAAATTGGTCAGACAACGCAGAAAAATATAGTACAACTTCGTTAAAGGTTCCACAGAGCAGAAAGGAACCTGTGTTTCTTAAGCCAAGCTTTGCCCCTGTGACAGGACGCTTTGAACTCCAAATGTCTTACAGATGAAATATATACAATCTGTTTCCCCATCCTTTAGTAGGAGTCAGATCCTAGATACAGCTGCAGAATCTGGCCATCAGCAGGTTACAGGCAGGGACAAGTAAACATCTCCATAACTATTTGCAAGTCAGTAATGGCCTAAGTAGGATCCATGCAGCTTTTTCTTATGGTGAAAGCACCACATGCAACTAAAGGCACAGGATAGGGTTGTGCTGTGTCTCCACAACTAATTTCCTTTCTTATTTTATGGAATATATACTCGGGGTTTCAGTTCTCTAGTGGTATACAATGTTTGCTCAGATACTTACTTCATCCCCCACACAGTAGCGCCCAGCAGTGTGCTGCAGAATCTGCTCGAGTGCTGTCAAGAAAGGTGGTACACTGGAGTGAGACATTGGAAACTCATTTGAAAGGGACACCAAAGACCTTTCAGACTGGGCATTATAAACAAAAGCATTTTGATCCTAAGCTGAGTATGAAAAATGGGCAATTTGGGACAGAATCTAAAAGGAACAGAAATCTTATAACAACATAGTTATGGGAGTCTTCAGGATCAGTTTGTGTCTGTCCAGAAGAGAAGATGGGCCTGCCACTGCAGCACATGTGGGAAAGGGTTTTGAGGAAACAAAAAGCACCCTATTTCTCCCAGGAGAGTAAAAAAATACTGTGCTACTTGCTAGATTCTGTAGGAGTTTGCCATCAGATGCCTTTTGTCTGATTACAAAAGCATATAAATATAGATTGATAGAACTTCTAAGCAAAAGGCACTAGTTTGGGAGCAGCTGGATGGAAAGGAGAAGTGCTGTCAGCTTCAGAGTCAATCAGCTGCTGTGGTGTACAGGATGACCCCAGACTTGCCTTCTTCCACGTGCAGCAGTGGAAGCACCCTGTGGATAGTATCTTTCCTCTGAGAGCATGAAGAACTACGAGTCCTTAAGAAGGGACTCTGGGCAGGAAGAGTGCTGTCTCTGCCAGCAGGGCAGGACCTCAATGCACCAGCCCAGGGAGATCTGTTGCTCTGCTTGTAGAGGAAAGTAGGACCCCAGCAGTGCAGCGTTTTGAAGGGTCAGTTGAAATGCTGATAATTTTGGATGTGGGACTTGCCTTGAAAGCCAGATGCGATGCAATTTTGAGCCCATTCAGTTTTTTTCTCCCCTATTTGTTTCAGGACATTCAGGTTCTGCAAAGATAAGCAATCAAGGTTTGACTGACTGCTGCTAGCAGGATCTTGCCCATTGCCTCATCCAGTGGAGGAGAGGAGAGATGAGTTGTGAAGTCTGAACCCCCAGCCTGAGTTCAGCCTGCTGGGTCAGCCCTGACCTCACCCTCACCGAATCATGAATCCTGTACCTCTGGAACTGTCTTTCTGTAACAGCTGCCAGGGTATCTATCCCTTTGCCTCTGACCTTTCGGTTGGTCAGTTGCCTTCTTCCTAAAACATCCTAGATCCAGCAGTAAAACCATATGGATTCAGCTGTTTCTGGAAAGAACCCTGGGGTACTACAGGATTTTCTTCGTAGGAAGTAACTGTATTGCTGCCACTGGCAGACCAAGCAGAGGCTAAGCGGAGATTTCATCTGCCAACACAAAGTCTTAAGGTCTGCCACACTACTGGCTGGCAACAATTTAAAGATACTGAACTTTTCAGAGATCCTGCAGACTCCTGGAAACCCATCCTGTTTTCTTCATTTGCATGGATACAACAAGGCAATACCTGGAGTGGCTGAATGCCGGAGACAATGTGATCCGCAATCATTCTGACTTGAGCTCTCTTCTTCGGATCTTGGGGGAGGAGCCTGGGGTTAGGATGGGTGTCTTCTAGGTAATGAATTATAGCTAGCTGTAATGAACAAAGAGATAAGAGGAGGTTAGTGGAGAGCCAAGGAAAAGTTCACATCCTGAATACCTCGGAAAGAGTTACTGAGCCAGGGGAATACAACAGCTTTTGCATGAAGTTTGTTACTGATCCAAGCAACAGAATATCTCTTGTGATGTCCACTTGGGACCTTTTTGTCATTTAGCCCAGCTGTAACTTCAGCCAAACCTGGCCTGGCCATCTAAGTCAGACTACAAAGTGCTCAGTGAAGAGTAGAGTTACGAATCAAAGCTGAATTGAGCTTACATCACTGACGGCAGTTTCCCAGCAATCTATGTGCTATTTCTGTCCCCAGGTGGGTTTGTTTATCATAAATCCCACCTCCTTTCCAGTGCACAAACGAGAGTGTGGCGGGAAAAGATGGGGCAGAGCCATCCCCTCCAGACCAGGCAGCAGACTGGAGTGAATGGTTAACAGGGATGTAGCTGGTAACTCACCGACTGAGAAAGGGTGATGCCATCAATTTTCAAGGCTGGGACTTGCTGCATTGGATTCACTGTCTTGAATTCAGCAGAAAACTGTGGAAACAAAACCTGAGATTACTGCAACAAGAAATTCTTTTTCCTTGTTTTCTTCCCCTAAACCAATCTAGTTACTATTTTTTGTATTTCTTTTTTTTTTTTTAACCTGGCTTTTCTCTCTACCTCACTACTAATATTTGCAGTACTATTAGCTGTACTATTAGCCTACAGCAAACTCTCACTGAGGCTCAGGGATCTGCATAAGGGCCAGGCTGCCTTACCTCTTGGTAAACTGTTGATACAAGCCCAGTATGTACTGCAGGAGTTTCACTATTACTGTTCTAGTGCTCCAACTCCATCTTAGTCCATACTGGTACATCGAGCTGGTGGTACTGCTACATGCACAACACCCCACTATGGCCCCCTGAATAAGTTCTCAGTGAAGAGCTCTTCTGGCAACTCACCCCTTCCTTTGGTAGGCCCTTTGCAGCCCCTTGCTGTCATTCAGCATCTTTTGGACACACACCCCCTGCCACACACACACTTTCTGGTGCTAACTGAATGAGGTTGAATCTTCTTTAAATTGCAGTACAGCTTCTCTGAAGTCTGTGTACCAGAGACATTCAGTTATACCACGCTAAGCAGGAGCAAAGGACCTTAAGCCTTATGAAATTAAGTCACAGATGTTTAAGAGTTAAAAACCTTTAGTGTCCTGCAGTCATCTTCTCCCTCTGTCCTGCATGCCAGGAAATACTGCCTGAAAGCAACTATTAATTACAGAGAAGTGGTGAGGAATTCAGTGACTTCGTCTGTGAACTTTCTAGCGCTAATCACAACTCTTCTCATGATCCACAAGTTTAGTACCCCTGGAGAAAGCAATGGTAGATGTATCCTTACCTGCTGCCCCCCATCCTTGAGGAGGTTCACTGGCACCAGGTCATAGGAAATCCCTTTCAGAGCCAGCGCTAGGGAGAGCAGAGTGTACAGCTTCAGACAGGCACAAAGACCAGTTTCATTGATAATGGCTCAGGGAAATGCTGCCATCCCCACTTGAAGAAAGAATGGCATTAGAACAAAAAAAGACCCTATCCCTCAAGAAAGGCAGCCTCAGTCCACTGAGAAGATAGTGCTCTGGCAAATAACGGACCAAAGCACTAAAGATCAGTACTGATAAAAAGTGCATTTTCCAACATAAGCTTTGCCACTCTTTGCAGCACAGCCTGTCCTGATTTGGCTTACAGCTCTGTGCTCACTTGCAAAACCTTGCTTAAGATTGTCTCAGTACAAGTAGGGACCATTTGCAGGCCTGCTCAGCAATCAAGACCTTGCTCTATAATTTCAAGACCAGAGTCTAAGGCAGTATCTCTGTAAAAGCAAAGTGTAGGGCCCCTCTAGAAAATGTGGAAGAAACTGCCATCTGCATCACATTGGTTTTACAAAAGGAGTATTTCCCTCTTAACTAGCTGCAGGCTGAGCAAAGCCCTCCTGTCTGTTCTCCTTTCCCCCTGCTCCAGGTAAAGTGTGATATTCTCTTCCCTCCCATTGGGAAAAGTGCCTCACTGTTCCAGGTTCATGTTTGCTGTTCTCTCAATAAGTGATCGATTAATCAGATTAGTGAAGGGGGGGATAGTGCAAAAACACCAAGACAACAGAAGAGAGATGAACACTAGATCTTACCGATTCTCACTCTCCAAGAGCAGGAACTTCGGAAATAGCTATAAAGTATTGGCTGAGAAGAGAAAGAGAGATAGAGTGGTTATTTGGTGAGAACACCCTAGTATTGTCAGGAGAACAATGCATGAACAGAAGGCATTTCAAGAACTGTAAGACAGAGAAGAGCAACGCTAGGGGGAGAGAAGGCTCCTTTCTGAAAGTGATTGTTCCTGTTTTGGGTGTACAGGTAATATCACTGTCTTTCATACTAGCCCTCTGAATATTTAGTTGCACCTGATGTCTCCAGCAGTGCACAAGTGTCCTTAGAATTCTCTCGTACAAAGCTTCCCTCTTTGTCCCTACTGGATGTTGCTGACTTCTATCCCATCTTAGATCTTTGAAACAAATTCCCCACAGATTGTGACAAGCACCTGCACTGGGTGTCTGCATGGCATGAAATAGCTTTTCCAGCCATTGAGGGCAGGGCCAGGCCTCTTTCCAAAGAAGAGCTTGTGCTGTTTTAGATGAAGGCTGAGAAGGCAGACAATTCATCTCTACCTGAACTGTACCATTGAGGCAGCTTTCCCAGACACTTTCACCCTGTCCAAGTTCTCACCTTTTCAGATGCCATGGTCAGTGTGTGCAATCTACTCCAGGAAATAAAACCAACCCCTTCACTTTCCCTTTTAACTGAGTGGGGATGGGGGAAGGTATCTCATAAAGCCAATGAGAAAGGACTATGCTCACAAATCTGCGCCCAGAACACTAAAACCAGCCAGTCAGATTCAACCCTGAGCGACAGCAGTCAGCTGCATCCACATCCCTGCGTGTTGTGCTGCAGCCCAGCCCTGGTATCAGAACCATTAACCAGCTCTGAGGTTGGAAGCACATTTAGGAACCATCCTTATCTCCCTTGCTGTTTGTCCAGCAATAAATAAGGTATCTAGAGAGCCTGTCAAGCTCTCAGCAGTTGCCAGAGCACAGAGATAGCCCTGAGGAACAACATAACAAGGAAACCAAAGCCACATGTAGAATTTCTGTTTCACTAGGGAACCACTGCCAGCTCTCTGAACAGGGGCTGCCTTTGCAGTGGGGTCTCTTAGGGTCCTCCTGTAGCCCTCCTCCCACTAGTACCAGCAGATGCAGATGGTTTTCTACATTGCAGGTCTGGGAGAGGCTGCTACTCTGCTCCCAGGCCAACTTTGTGCAAAACAGAAAGCTGTCTTTTCTTTCCACACAGGAAATTTTTTCCCTGTACCTCCACCCTCCCAAAATGCATAGAAATGATACCAGAGACTGACAGCAAGGCAGAAAAAGGCAGGGATATGCCCACTGACAATCTGTCAACAGAAAACCAGACACACCCTGATGATCTCTATGCTCCAGTCCTCTGTAAACTTGATGCTTCTTTTACAGCATCAGCGTAGACCGGTTCAAACAACTTTAAATGAGATACGCATTTGACTAAATTACTGTAGTCAAAGTTTCCTGGAGAAATGGCTTCTAAATGAGGAGGGAAGTGATGCCAGTATTGGCAACACTTTCATATACAAAGCATTTACTTATTTTCTTTAATTCTCTGCTTCTTGAATCAGGTCATTAGAAATCTTAGCTATGCTTTTGATTTTCAATGTCCAGCCTGCTGGGTTGCAGCGAGAGAAACAGAAACTATAACATCAAAAGGGAAACATAGAGCGTTCATGACATGCTATTTTTGTTTTCCCTGGGGACCCCGCTGATTTTTTAGCTCAGAAATTCATGTCCTTCACCACATCTGTTTTGGACTCCGGCCTCTCTGCTGGCAAAGACATTTATCCTGATCCTCTCTTACAGTTGTTGTTTTTGCAGCCTGTGCTAAATTGTGCTAAGCTAATTGCTTTGCTTTATAATTTCAAGGCCCTGGGGGAATCTCACCCAAAAGAACATGGAAAACAACCCACCCCTTAGCTGGGAACTGTGTCTCCAGAGGCCAGGGCCTAGAGTGATCACTTAAGTTTATGCTGTTTTGCTCCCTGCAGAAGGGCAGACTACAAGCAGAACCATCAGCTAAGGAAAGACTACAGGCAGACAGTGTTTTGTTATCAGTGAACAGGTCCACTGAGAGAGAGTGACATTTTATTTAGTCTTCCTTGGAGGAAGAGCTGAGCACAGGCCAGCAAAGTAGTGGGGAAGAATTATCTCCACTTACAACCCCACGGAGTACAATATCCTTAAACTGCATGTTAGACTGGTTGGAACCAGGAAGATAGCAGGACATTTGCTTGATGTCTGCTAAGATTTCTGGTTTGATTCTGCTTTCCTGTCCAGTATCAGTGGTGCAATGAGTAAACCCTGGGCTTAAATCCCAATCCAGAGTAAAAATATGGGAAATGCATTTCACTGATGAGGAAGATAGAAGAGACACCCTTAACTTTGTGTGTGGAGCTCTCAGGTTTCCAAGCCTGTGCTTTAGTTCGGTTTCTGGATACCAGCTCTTTCCAGGCTATATTCAAGATGCACTTGGAAACGCAGTCTTTCACCTGTTTCTTGAGACACAAGAGAGCAAACTGCTCCTTGGAGGCTTGCAGAGGGGAAACCTCAGTGTCTGAAAGGCATTGCTTGTATTATGCTGGGTTAAAACGGAAAGGCATAAGCAGGAGTGGGCTCGCTCCTAAACTTTCTGTATCCCTGCAGCAGGCGTTAACAGCTCAACTTACTATGGTAAGTAGCCACCACCACTGCTTTGAAAAGCATTAGACTTATTTAGCGTGGGGCCAAATTCCTTGCTCTCCATTGAGACAGGCATTTGGGTGCAGGCCGCGGCCGCGCGAACCTGTTTTTACAGACGCCGAGCACGGCGGTGCAGTCCTCGCGGTCAC